TTATAAAACGATCCTCGAGTTTTATAAAACTATCTTCGAGTTTTATAAAACGGCTTCTCGAGTTTTATAAAACGATCTTCGAGTTTTATAAAACGATCTCTCGAGTTTTATAAAATGATTCTCGAGATTCATAAAACTGTTGCGTTTATGTGTTTGCGGAGAATTTTGGCTATTGATTCCGTCGTACCGATTTTGACCCGAACAATATACTCGTGGTTCGGGCAAGCCAACAATCGTTTTAGAAGCCGTTGCTTCATACGATCTCTGGATATGGCATGCATTTTTTGGACCTTCAGGTACCTTAAATGATATTAATTTTCTTGAACGCTCACCTGTTTTTGATGACATAATTCACGGTCATGCTCCGCAAGTCACTTACTCAGTCAATGGAAGAGAGTATAATTTGGCTTACTACCTCACTGATGGTATTTATCCCAAATGGGAAACCTTTATCCAATCTATTTCAATACCACAAGTGCCGAAAGATACTTTATTTGCTCAACGTCAAGAAGCTGTCCGAAAAGATGTCGAGCGTGCTTTCGGGGTCTTGCAAGCTCGTTTTGCCATTGTTAAAAATCCGGCACTTTTTTGGGATAAAGTCAAAATTGGGAAGATTATGAGAGCATGTATCATACTCCATAATATGATCGTAGAAGACGAACGAGATGGCTACACTCAGTTTGATGTTTCAGAGTTCCAACACGGAGAAGACACCGGAAGTTCACATGTCGATCTCACGTATTCTACAGATATCCCTTCAAATATTGCCGATAGGATGGGTGTTCGAACTAGAAGTCGTGATAGTCAAATGCATGCACAACTAAAAGCTGACTTGGTTGAACATGTGTGGCGTAGATTTGGACGTGATGAAGACGACACTTGAGCTCGGATCTTTTTTTAAAAAGTATTTTCTGTTATCGCTAATCTTTGTTTCTATGTTTGTATTTCAAATTCTATGTTTTAAATGTAATCTTTTATTATTTCTTATATAATTAATAAAAATTATCTTAAATAAAAAATGTTTAATTTTTTTTTTTTTTAAGAAACCCAAAATAAGCAACTTGCATTGGAGGCACAAAATTGGGCGGGTGCTTAGCATTGGTTCTTAAACCACTTTTACAACTAAAAATTATTAAACAAAGATTAAGCACTCCTAAATAAGCACTACCATTGAACATGCTCTAAGATCTGAAATGACGAAAGTGAAAGGGACAATACAATTATCATTGCTTTGACTAAACATAAAGTAAACGAGTACAATGTGACCGGCAACTCTCGGTACAACCACTTTAATTTCAGTCACCACCAGTCCCAAGCCACCTACCAACAATTTAGTTAAAGAGTACCAACATTTGATCCTCTCTCAATGGCTGCTTCTTCAACCAATCCTCGTCATCTCCTCTCCACCCCCACGACCATCCCCAAGCCGGAGTTTGCCGGTTCAGGTTTGTGTTTTCCGGCCGACAGCGACGTCGGAGCATGGAACCAAGCAATGTCTATGTTAGTGATTCTTTCCTTTGAGAACAATGATGACTCTGCAGATGAATCGGTTCAGACAAAGTTAAGTCTTTTAATCTCTCATTCTCAGCCATAAGCATCATACTCTTATCAGTCTCCACCAAACTCTCATTCATTCTCTCCTTGTAACTCATGACCAGACCCATTTTTCTAATTATTCTCATCATTCACACTATTTCTTATCAAAATCTAACAATGGGCTCTTTTTGAGAAGTGTGCTAGCGTTGTCCAACAACCTCTGTTTCCTAGAAGATCACTAAAGAAAATGCTTGGGGATTCTTAAAATGTTAATGGTAGTCAAAGTTGCCTCCTCATGGATATAGTATCCGAGGTCTGTAGTTTCAGAATCAACTTTTTTAGTATATAGAAACCTACTCTTCTGCATGTGGAATTTGAGTGATCAACATCAAACTTCTGTGTGGTAGTCCAATTCTGAATTTTAGAAAATTCAACAAAATAATTTTAGAAAATTCAACAAAATCAATTCAAGCAAGTTTTGGGAAACTATGTTTCCTGCTTTTAGATCTAACTTCAACATCTAACTTATCTGAAAATGAGAACCATGTCACATGTTCTGCCTGCTTTTAGAACTCTATTATCAAAATGAAAGTTTTTCGCGGAAATTAAATCGTACATAGTATTAATGATAAGAAATGGGACATCAATAGTACACAATACACAACCTTAGTATGAGCATGCTCTCACAAATTTTCTGGCAGTCCCATAATCATAAGTTTTTAACAATCGAGTATCTTTCTATAAGCTTAATCTCTTTTTCAACCACGATCATCTTTGGCCCGTCTTCTTTTCTCACCTTGCAGCATTCGAGTGCCAGGTCGAGAAGCATTTTCATCTCAATAGGCCTCATGTCGGTCGAATCACCCCCAAATTCAACATGTTCTCCTCTCTCTCGCAGATGCTTCACATAATCAAGAATATGAGAACCAATTTCTACATAACCATCTGATCCAGCAAGAAGTGGTTGTCTTCCCAGCAGAAGAACCAGCATAAAAATTCCAAAACTGTAGACATCAGTGTATTCCGACACTATCTCTGTCAAGTAATAAAGAGGATCTAAGTATCCAGGAGTTCCAGTCACACTATCTTCAATCCACGTCTTACCCTCGGGGAGTGAAATGGTAAGGGAGAAATTAGTGAGCTTAGCCCTCCCATTCTTATCCAAAGAAACATTTGTTGCCTTGATATCTCGATGTATAATGATTCTAGGGTAAGCAGTGTGAAGATAAGTTATAGCAGTCGCAACCTCCTTTGCAATCTTCAGTCTTGCACTCCAAGGCAATACCGGCGCGTCCTCGGAACCAAGACTTCCTCTTATGTTCAAAGCTCTATATTCTAAGTCTTCAAGGGAACATACCGTGAGTTTGGGGAAACCAATGTATTTACTTACCCGAGCAGATAAGACAATAGAGTATCTTTCTATAAGCTTAATCTGTTTTGCAACCACAATCATCTTTGGCCTGTCTTTTTTCCTCTCCTTGCAGCATTCGAGTGCCAGGTCGAGAAGCATTTTCATCTCAATAGGCCTCATGTTGTTCAAATCACCCCCAAATTCAACATGTTCTCCTCTCTCTCGCAAACCCTTCACATGGTCAAGAATACTAGTACCATTATCCATGTAACCATGTGATCCAGCCATAAGTGGTAGTCTTCCCAGCAGAAGGACCAGCATAAAAATTCCAAAGCTGAATACATCTACGTATTTTGTCACTATGCTCGTCAACTGATAAATAGGATCTATGTATACAAAAGTTCCAAACACCCGCTCTAACTTCCACGTTTTACCCTCAGGGAGTGCAACGGCAAGGGAGAAATCACTGAGCTTAGCAGTCCCATTCTTATCCAAGAAAACATTCGTAGGCTTGATATCTCGGTGTATAATGATTCTAGGGAAAGCAGTGTGAAGATAAGTTATAGCAACCGCGACCTCCTTGGCAATTTTCAAACGTACATTCCACGGCAACACAGGCTCGACCTCATGACCAAGACTTCCTAGATGGTTCAAAGGTCTATATTCTAGGTCTTCAAATAACAACACAGGATGAGGAAATTCGAGACAAGAACCAATGAGTTTGAGGAAACCACTGTGATTACTTACCCGAGCAGATAACACGATATCATTGTAAGCATTCTCTTCATCATCAACCACTCGGCTTGTAAATCTCTTGATCAGGTAAGACCTGCCTTCGATGACCCCCTTGTACCAGATGGACCATGATGAATTAAGAGGGATAGAACAATTGGGATCGAAGTTATTCGTGGCATTGGAGATTTGATTGGAAGAAAACGTTCTGATAGGGTTTGATATGCCATTACAGTCGGCTATGAGTTCCTTTAGAAACACGCTTCCATTTTCGAGGAAACATTATCTTGCATTCTTTTTCTCCTTCTTCCTTTTCCAGAATTCCATCGTCTGTTGATTTGTCTCAGATTGGAAATGTCTGCAGATACCTTTCAAACGTGAGAGAGACGCTCTCACAGTATCTTCTTTTTTAATGTAAAATAAAGACGTTGACTTATGAGAAGAATATGTTAAATAATCAAACATGCAATACAAAATATGGGTAAACCTCTCCCACTTTGTGTTCTATATATATACCTTTGCCCACAAGGTACCTCGTGATCATGTAAGTTATAATGTCAATGATAACCCGTCAGAGAGAGTAAGAGCAAGGGAGAAATCAGACACCTTAGCTGTCCAGTTCTGTGTGCAATGATCCTAGGAAGCTCTGTCTGGAGATATCCGCAGTGGTGATTTCCTTTGCTCACTTTTAATTTTACATCCCAAGGCAAGAACTCTGTATCCAAAACTTCATGTCTTCTTCAAATCAGTTAGAGAATGCTCTTTCAGTTTTGGAATGTTAATGGTAGTCAAAGTTGGCTCCTCTAGACGATACAACAGTATATTGATGCTGAATCAGAAGCCAATAAAGTTTCAGTAAGTCAACGTTTTCATTCAAATAGTTTGGAACTCACTCTTTTGCACATGGAGTCTGGATAGATAAAGTAAAAATTTCATGAGGTTTCAGCTTTGCAGCCTAATGAATCCTGATAAACAATTTGAATAAGAATAATTTGAAGCAAGTTTTCAAAACTATGCTTCCTGATATCGGATCTAATCGGTGCTACAATGCTTACTTCTTAGTTAAACACCAAGCTTTTCTGAAAAGGAGAACCATCTCAACACCAAATCATCTAATCATAATCCACCAACAAACTTCAGCAATCACATGTGTTCTCTTGCAGTGTTTATGTACAAAAACAGAGTTGTGCTCATAAACACCAGAGCAAGTCCTAATCACTGAACGTGTACATTACAATACTCCAAGTTTGAGAATGTTTTCGTGGGGATTGGGAATGTGAATTAAGATGGCAAAAGAGATAGCTATAGTGATTCCTTGGCTCCACACCGTCTTCCCAAGAATTTCAAAGCGAATTGTCTGTGTTTCGCTTCAAGAGAAACTTTTTAACATTGACCTATGTTTGGTGGGTTGAGCCAGGCCCGTGCAGTAGTGCAACGCATGGGCGACTCGTGAAAGCTCAGATAGCAAGCTATCTTAACGGGCTTTCTCCCTAAAAAAATAGAGTTAATATCGAGCGGGCCAATGACCCACATATCAGATATTAAACTGATAAGAACAGATACTACACTTGATCTTAGCCAAAAGGCCGAGAAAGGTATGATTTGGAAGAGGGGCTTGGATCTCCTTCTATAGTGTTTAGCTTATGACTAATGACTCTGTCTTACGATGTGGGACTCCTAGAAATATCCTTTTTCTATCTCTACAGATTATTTTTCAACTGTCGTTTCTTTGCCTTTCGTCGTCACAGAAGCATAACAAACCTAGAAGAACGATGCAAGATTCACAAAAAGTTCTTCAAACGAATGAAATTGGTTGTTCAGGAAACAGTCTGAAATTTTAAATTTTAAGTTCATTCTTTCTCCTCTAATGAATGGTTCTCCATCATTTATTTTGCTACTTATTAGTGTCTCTGTGTGATACTGTTGTTACAAAAAGAGTCTATAGCCTCTTCAGAATCAACAAGGGAGCTTCACTAAAAATCTCAAACATGTTTTGCTTGCAATTAATCACATAGACCACACTTCCCTAAGAAGCTCATATCTTACATTCGCTACCACTTCACCTACTTGCTCATCTTTCTGCTTCACCTTCCCAGTGTGTCCTGAACTAAGTGATGCAGACACTTTTTCAATAACAAATGTAAGAGGAGAATCCAGCTCATCAAGCTCCTCGTCGCTCGTGTATCCTTTTCTTTGTATCATAGACGCATTCCTGGACATCCTAGAGACGTCTCCTCCTACCTCTGCGATTTTCTCTGCCACATTAGTTGATGATGGAGGAATGTATGAAATGGGAGAAGCTGCATAAGGGAAGCTAACTCCTGATAACTTCTGCTCTGAAATGCTCTGATTAGAAATCAAACAAACAAACAAACAAAAAGGGTTATAGTGAGTGCAAAGAAGGAAAGAGATTGAGAAGGAGGATTTGTAATTTGTTTACCTCGGCGTTAAGTTCTTCTAGGACAGATCCAGGGACATGATCAGGACAGAACTAATCAGGTGTGAAGTTGCAGAGTATTCTTTTGATCAGTGGAAGACTTATCGATGGACACACCTACAAATCAATCAAAGAAAGGAAGTTATTATATTGATCAAGAACTTGAGAGTCATATAGATATCAAAACAAGAACCTCTTCTCTAATGGATAAGTCAATAAGCATGTCTTTAGGGAGCATAAGTAGATCACTGAGTTCGTTTAATAAACTGAAATATGTCTCATCTTCTTCTACAGAGTCTATAGTGTTCATGTCCAACACTTCAGAGAGGCATCTACACCAGTTACCAATCTACAAGTGAGAGAGATTATAACATTCAAGAAACATTCTCAAGTGAAGTGAATGATATGATTCATGTTTCTTGATGTTGTACCGCGTTTTTAAGCTGTGCACCGGATCCAAAGCTTAAGTCTCCAGCAAGGATAGGCAGAACTTTGGAATCTATAATAGGATCAGAGACAGGATCAGTGGGAATCTGGTGTTCTGATTCGCGTAGTATAGCGTTGAACATGGCTACATCAACTCTAGCTATACACTTCTCCATTACCTGTTAAAATACAAATAAGATTCCAGTAGCTAGTTTATGTTACTGCCTTGGAATTTTAAAAATGTAGAATAATATGAGTACCATTTTAGACAAAATAGGTAAGCAACCACACTCATGTCCTTCTCCTCTCATAGGAGAGAGCCTTGATAGTGCAACTTTGAAAGCATTTTGCCATAGGCTAATTGAAAAGCTTCCTTTCTCATTCGTTTTATCGCCATTTTCGGAGGATTGCATGTGAGGTGTGAAGATCTGAAAGAGAGGAGAGAACAAGAATAAGTTTTAGATACCTAAAAAAAAATATATATATATATATATATATATATATGTCTTAAATTTTCAATGAATGATACTTCACCTGCCACCAAATAGATTCAACTATTCTAGAGAACAACCAGAACTCAACTTTCTCTAATGATGCAGTGAAGGTTTCACTCCCATTTGATTCAGAGGTTTGTGTGAATGCATGTGAAGTGGTCTCTCTCAGAGCAATTATGTTTGATAACCAGAATGTCAATCTGAAACATAAGGAACCAAGAAAAAGCTGAGGTATATCAAGATCCTGAAAGGTACTAGACACAAGGTGTTAAGTTCTGTGTTTGTGTTACCTTGGAACATCATTTCCGCAAGATTTAGCAGCTAAAATGAGACCAGAGACTGTGTTTCTGGCGACAGTTTCTTGCTTTCTTTGACTCCAATGTTTACAAGCATGGATATAGAGTCTTGAAATTCTTCTAGCAGGGGTGTGAAGCTTGTGAGCTGAGCTATAAGTAGCTATAGTTGGATCTGAAATTATTGCTTTATAAGGTGAAGCTAATGGACTGTGGAACTTATAGGTGGCTTCAAGTACCTCTGAAATGGAGATTGGAAGTCAAGAAATAGCGAAGAATTCTACTCATTTAAATCACGTACTCATCATATTTATGCAACCCGCGAGCTAGAGAATACAGAGAAAAGTTGCTTTTACGGTTTCTAATTAAAGAAAGTCTTTTGAGAAACTGGTGTGTATTTGTGATCCCTACATCTACTTTATATATGGAACGAACATAGCGAGTTGTTGTTTTCTTCTTTTTGTGTTCTTATTTCTGTGAGTCTCAGTAAATTTCTAATTTCTTTTTGTGTTTCCTCTGTTTTCCATGAGAGAACTAAGTGACTGAGTTGGATTGTTACAAGACTAGAGAGGCGATTGAGAGTGGGTTTTTTAAGACAATGTATGTGAAGACTGGTAACCAACTGGCTGATACATTGACAAAAGCTTTACATCCTGCACTTTTCCGAGACCACATTGGCAAGATGGGAATGATCAACATTTTCATACCTCCATCTTGAGAGGGGCTTTTAGTGTAGCTCGGTTAAGGGCTCTGGAATGTCCGGTTTATTTTTATTTAAGATGTAAACCTGTTGGTTGTTATTGCTCTAGTTTGTTGTCATAGTACAAGTAAGCTGGTGGCTTGAAACAAGTATAGTCATGTTTCAGATTCAGAGAGAAACAACAAGAATGTATAGTGCATATATGGCTGAAGTGTTGTCACAGTACAAGTAGATGGCTGAAGTGTTGTCACAGTACAAGTAAGCTGGTGACTTGAAAGGAACTCGGAACTCAAGAAGTAACCGAGCTACACTAAAATATGACCAAAATCATTCTTGTTATCATTCATTAGATACAAGTGAATGCATTCATTTCTATAAAGAGCTAGGTACTTGTGAGAAATGCCTTTTTTAGTACTACTATTATATAAATCTTTTTTCATGTGCTAATACTGTTGTTTTCCTCTTTATATCGTAATTTGCTTTGTCATTTTCCTCTGTTCCTTTTCAGACTCTTTTAACTTGGAAGTTGTTAAGTAACGGCTGCAAAGGAGAAGAAGTGAAGAGAGTTTGGTGGTGATATGATGAAGGGAATATACAAAGAATGTGAGAAGAGATCAAAGGACACAGAAGACTAAGGGGCTGTTCGTTTCTTCATTCAAATGATCCATTCGAATGGAGATGAGCTTTTTGTTCGTTTAGACACAAAAAGTACAACTCATTCAGATGATCCATTTGAATGATTTTTGGAAATTTAGGCTTAATTTTAAAGTTCATTCAGCTGAACGAATTTGGATCATTTGAATGGAGATGATTCATTCAAAATGGTATAATGTCTATTATATCCCTGTTGTAATTCACAAATTACAAACTTAAACATAAAATTATTCCGTGACACACGAAAACTGAAAAAATTCACAAAATCTCGTTTTCCCGCCAAATCCGAAAAATCTCGTTTTCCCGCCAAATCTGAAAAATCTCGTTTCCCGCCAAAATCACAAAATCTCGTTTTCCCTAAAAAAACCGAAAAATCTCGTTTTCCCGCCAAATCCGAAAAATCTCGTTTTCCCTAAAAACAAAAAAATCTCGTTTTCCCTCCAAATTCGAAAATCTCGTTTTCCCGCCAAAAGCACAAAATCTCGCTTTCCCGCCAAAATCACAAAATCTCGTTTCCCTAAAAAAACCAAAAAATCTCGTTTTCCCGCCAAATCCGAAAAATCTCGTTTTCCTTAAAAACCGAAAAATCTCATTTTCCCGCCAAAATCACAAAATCTCGTTTTCCCGCCAAAATCACAAAATCTCGTTTTCCCTAAAAACCAAAAAATCTCGTTTTCCCTCCAAATCCAAAAAATCTCGTTTTCCGCCAAAACAGCAAAAATGCATTTTCCCGCATTGTTGGAGGTTGATTTAGTTTAAATATATTTTAGACTAAATAATATTAATTAGTATAGTTATAATTAATAGCAAACATATGATTAAATCAAAACAAGGGTATATATGTAATTTGTTTATCAAACTCATTTGAATGGAAATAAAAAAAAAAGAAACAAACATGAAATTCATTCAAATGGTTCATTTAGATGACTCATCTAGATGGAAAAACGAACAATCCCTAAAATCTGGATGGATCATTTAGATGGATCACATAGATGGATCAGGTGAATGAAGAAACGAACAGCCCCTAACGGTGCTAAAAGATCTTCAGAGCAAGAAAGACTCTCGAGACTTTGGAGGCTAAAGAAGAAACTAAGGTTTCTGAAGCAGTAAGTGCTACAACTATGATGATGCAGAGAATGGGTAGGGAAACAAGAGATTGTGAATGATGAAAAAGACTCTGAACCCTTTTCAAAAACTTGTGAAGGTGTCAATGAAGATAACAGAGCGGATGATTTGTTGAAAGAAGTTCAAGATCGGGAAGATGCTTCAGATAATGGCATTAGCAGGGGAAGTGAGAAGGAGGCAAGTGAGGACGAAGAAGCATTGAAAAAAAGGGTTGTATTATTTGATTATGTACAGTGGTCAGGTATCATTTTTCCATATAGCTAATTAATGTTTGTGTTATAGCTATGGAATGCAATTACCCAATATAAAAGCAAACAAAGTTCTGGTAATATTCTAGTATATTTGTTCTTTATACAAAAACATCTTTTAAATCAATTCCATCACCTCTTGGTGTGTCTGTGGAGCAGTAAACAAAAACCAGTATCACGTAAATCAAAAAATTTGATGTCAAACAACTGTAAAATACTAAAAGGTCTTCATAGCAATCCCATCATAAATCTTTCAGTCATCTTCTTTCACATCCACATCCTCTCTTGTCCATCCTCCCAAATAACATTTCCACAATCAACCTACATACATTTAAAATATATTAACTTTCTTAGTTTAATACTCATTAAATACTCTCATTAATTCACGTTACTTACCCTACTTAGGTCAAGCCACATTGGAACATCATCACCATCATTAATTCCCTTGTCCGCTCTAACAGTGTCCAATTTATGCACTCTCTGTGAAACAAAAAAGAAGAGATTATTATAAATGAACAAAATCAAGAGAGAGAGAAGAGAAATATTATTTTTTCTTACTCTAGATTCATCATAGCTTGCAACGATGTAGCTTCTCCACTCTTCAGAGCCTTCTCCATTCTTCAGCCTCAAAGGTAATCCAACTAGACTCTGTGGATTTGAGCTAGTAAAAAGAGTAGTAGTTTTTCCAAGTGGTGGAACATATTTCCTAGTTCTCTTTTTTTCTCCAACCTGCCAATGTGGTATCCTCAATCTTGTTAGCATCAACCATCAAGGGGCAAGTTTTCTGGTGGGTTGTGAGATTGGCTTGAGCTTCAAACGTTCTTTCACAGAGGCATGCAAACACCTATGATCTGTTGCGACAATAGTGGCTTCTCCAGAGTTTTCAGTAGCTCGGCTCCAAGACCTTCATTGAGGAACTTCTCCAAATACTGGTCAGTAGTATCATCACCATCATCCTTGGGAAAATTCTGCAAATCCTGTTCTCTAAGAACATAATCAAACCCCCACTCTACTGGTTGCGTTGACTTCTACTGGCTATGTTTTGTCCAAATGTAGCTCGGTTCCAAGACTTTCATTGAGCAAATCCTGGTCAGTAGTATCATCACCATCATCCTTGGAAAAATTCTGCAAGTCATGTTCGCTAAGAACATAATCCCACCCCCACTCTCCAGCTGTCACATCATGATTAACATCCACTTGAGAGGTGTTCATATAAGAATTGTAATACGCATCCACATCAGCAGCAGAAAAGCTTTGGGAAGCATCTAAGTCATGAGTGGAGAAAGCTGGCTGAGAACCACCACCACCGGCAACTGCAACAACCACCACCGCAACAATGGCCTTTCTATGGCTTGAACCAGCTGGTTTGGGGAAGAGAAGAGAATCAAGATCATGGCAATGACCACAAAAGTTTGATGGTTAGTTCTGCTAATTTGCATCCAAATTAACCAGGTCAAAATGGAGTTGTAAGTTTGGGGGAAAACATTAGACTATGAATGTGTAAATATATTTGTATAAGCTTGTCTCTATGTATATAAATTATAAATATATAAGAGTTAGATATCTGTTAAGGAGGTATCAGTCATTTGATTCGGAGACAATCGCTGGTATATGATTATTTCTTACTTTTACCAGATTTTCACAATGTATAATTTAGAATATGTCTGTGATACTCCTTCAAAGGGAATTTGGAACCCAATCCGGAATACTCAACCTGTTTATGAATGGTACAAAGGCGTGTGGTTTACTCATGCAAAGCCTAAGTACTCATTTCTAGTATGTGTGGCTCTACCAAATAAGCTTGCCACAGGTGATGGAATGCTCCAGTGGTAATAGTAATGTTGGTGCTACTTGCGACCTCTGTAAAATGGCTCAGGAAAGTCAACAACACCTATTTTTCACATCCACCTACTCGGCGAAGGTCTGGAATGTGCAACACAAGGGCTTCTACAATATCAGTATACCATCCACTGAAGTACACTTATTACCCTCATCTCGGGATGAAAGTTAGACAGAATAAGCATGTACCTGGTGAAGTATGCCTTTCAAGTAACCGTACGTAGATTGAGTACTCTACAAGAAATGGGAGAACAAAAGATGTAAAAAGGTCTAATCACGTGGCTGGGAACAAGAATGCAAGTCTCATAGAAGCAAATTCTTTAATTCAAGTTTGAATTATTTTTTTCATTATTTCCAAAATCCCTTCTTAAAACAGTAGCACTTGATGTAAAAAGATTTTGACTGAATAAATTCTACATTCATTTAAAAAAAAATTTGAGTAGAATATATGATCATTTTAATTTGGTGAAAATGTTCAAATTCTATTTGGCAGCTTTTGTTTTGGCAGCGAAAGACGATAAAATAATCAAACTAAAAACTAGTAATTTTAAAAATGGAAAATCGATTAAATTCTTATTGGCTAATTTTACATAGCAATAGAAAAGGGTAAAAAAATTTTATATGTTCTTATGGTAGCGATGGGTTTTGGTTCAAGTATTGGTCCCATGCTCTTACTCTTGACATCTTGGTGTATGTCTCCGTTTTCTTGTTTCTCCATCATT